CAGGTGTGACGGGAGGGCGGCCGCAGCCACCTGTTCCCCGGCTCCCCTGGCCGGGCACCGTGCCCCCTTCGAGGGGAAGGGGAGAAGGGGGCGCTTGGGGTGCCCTCGGGTCGGTCGGTGGCTCCCACGTCGCAGGGCTGACCCTGCTTTCGCTCATGCTAATAACCACAGGGCCGTGGCATCAGGTGGCGAGGCTCGGGGCTGCCTGCGAGCCCGGCTGGCCGCGGTGGGAGGTGTGGGCATTGCTGGAGAGAAAAGCGTGCTCTCAGCAAATAACTGTTTGTGGTGTTAATGCTCTCGTCACCAGACATTAGGAACCCCACTGATTCCCTCCCCTGGTATATAATTGCATTTTCCTTAAGGTGTCAGAAGAACAGTGTGATTTTTAATTTATTTTTTTCCTCTGAGTTGTCTTTAAAAAAATTAACTTTCTCAGGAATAACAGATACTGTTTGAAAGACAAAGAGCACAGACTCTACAGTTACTATGGGAGCATGTGGTAGTTGCAGGCTGTGTGGGAGGCCAGAAAAAATGATGTGAATAAACTTCAATATGAATGACTGCAGCTTGCAAATTCCCTGTGACTTGGAGATTTAGCTTAGTTTGGGATTCTAGATTTAATCCACAAGTTCTGGCCGGTTTTGTGGGAAAAGGTGGTGGGTGTGATTAGGGGAAGTAGGGAAGATTTTGTGTACTTTATGGTTTTGCTTTCAGTATCGCATTGAGTGTCACTGAATTGGTGTAACCCTTGGTGTATCTGGGCAGATCTACCCTCTCCAGTGCCTGAGCTGTGACAGCGAGCTCCACTGCTGCAAAGGGCTGCCTGCCAATATTAGGGGCTGTGCTGCTTCTCTTACACTGGTGGCTGTGGTTTGTCAGATCTCCAGCACAGAAAATGCTGAGTGCTAAATGTTGATTGTCGTGCCAGCTGAATGATGGTAGGGAGATTCTGTTATATTGGATATGTTTATTTCTAAGCAATTTGTTTTAGAACCATAGGAAGAACCTTTGCATTCCTGAAGGGTTTTTGATAGCTTATCAGATGCTGTGCTGCCCAGGGATTGTCAGCCCAGAGGAGTGGCTGAATTGTTGGATTCTGTTAGCCTGGTCTGGAAAGGGAAGACCCTTTTTTGGGGCATCTGCAAGTCTTTGGTGTGTCACATGAAGACTTGGGTACCTATCAAAAGCCACTTCTCTGAGCTGACGTGCACTGAAGAAAAGGGAGCAGACACCACGCAGTGGGTAGCGTAGCAGGTCCCGGTGGAGGCCTCGTGGCCTTGGTGCCTTCTGTGGTTGATGCTCTAGATTTATGCAACTTGTTCCGATACCTCTGTTTTGATTTCTCCATTCCCAAGAACAACAGCTCAGTTCTTGTTTTGCAACGGATCTTATGTGACCAGATGGACAGTGGCTCATAGCTTTCATCTCATCCAGCACTGGATCTTCAGCTTGCCACATGAACCAGGCTTGTAACCTCTTCCGCAGTAGTTGGCCTGTCACTGCAGAGCTTCGCATTGCTGTCTGCTGATGCACCAGAGGTCTCAATCCCCTTTGATTTCATGGAAATTTCCTGGTTGATTTTTAGCAGTGGCATTGGTTTTCTTATCCCTCCCCCTCCCCCCCTTTCATCTGGAACAAGCAACCAGAAATTGTGTAAAGAAAAACTAAAAGTGCTTATTTTAACTAAATAGTTTACAAAATACTGAAAGTTTAGTGTTTGTAAAAACAGTAGTGCTTTAGCAGCACAATGAGAAGCAAAAGTTGTGTAGTTGTTCAGTGTGGGCTCAACTGCCTGTCTATTATTGGAGCAGTTTTTAATTGTTAGCACATAGTCTCTTACAACTGTTTCAAAGAGAAAAAAGTCCTTGACTGAAATAATGGGTTGAGCAGCTGTTAAATGTAGATGAGGCCTAGGATGAAGCATGAGTTTGTCACTGGCGAGGCAGCAGCAAAGAAGTGTTGCTCTCTCAGAGGGGACCTGTGGGTTTCCCCCATGCACCCCCCAGCTCCTTGCAAGCTCTAATTATGGTGTGTAAAACTACTTCAGAGGAATAAGATGTGACTTCACATTTGGGCAAAAGACTCAGAGAATTAAAATGGGAGAGAGTAGGCTTTTATGGACTTATGGCTTTGGCCACATTCATGCTACCAACAGGAAGATGAGGTGTTTTACAAAGACCTTCCAGATTGTTTGTTTGAACTGATTTTGTTTTCATAATATCCAAGGACAGCTTTAGGCAATCTGACTGGATTTCATTTGCCCTTTTGGTTGAAGGCTCCTTAAATTTCAGTGTGATGCAGTACTCCTATCTCTAGTTCCTCAGTTCCACAGAAGGTTAACCAGTAAAAACAAAGTCAAGGAAAACAGTGTGTCGTGTTTGAGGCTAGCTGGGTTTTCTGAGGCACTGCTGAAGAGTTGTAACTTTGCTTTGCGTGGAAAGAACAGTGAGAAACCCTCGTTTCAGTTTGAGTGTGATAATGGGCACGTATGTAGGATGGCTGAGATTCATTCCTGCAAGCTTCTGTCTGTATGTATAACTTCAGACAATTCTCAATTTTTTTTTCCAGACTCCATGAAAACAGAAGGCCAGTTGGGCTGGCAGTCAGACTAAGTGGGTAAGTTTCTATATAAAACTGACTAACTTTGGATCTTAACTATTTGCAGATTTGTTAAATACAGAATTTCTTATTGGTGCCAACAGCCTGACTCCGTTGGTGTTTAAGTGGAGCTCTGGTATTCTAGTGCATTCTTTTACCTCTGCTTCTGTTGCGTTGCAAGCTGTGCTAGAGAAGACGTAGGAAATTCATTTTACCCAATCAGCAATTGTAACAATGGACTACAAACCCGCAGAGCAAGCCGGTTTGCTGGAAAACAGGAATTCCTGCAGCGCAGCACTTGTCACAGACTATCCAAAGAGGGCAAAGATTCAGGAAGGTGAATAAATTGAACATTGGTTGAATGAGGTCAGGAACAGTCTCCTGGAGGAGAGCCCTGCCCTAAAATACCACTTTGAAAGTATAAGCCAATTTAATGTGCAGATTAACCCTTCTCATTTGAGCAAACTTGTGTGCAATCCTGGATCTTTGCAGATTACAACCGGACACTTAAAAAGCCTATGTACTATATTTGTTGTTTGTTGGGTTTTTTTTTTAATAAATCATAACTTGTCTTGTTACAGCTGTTACTTTTACCATTTCATTGAGAATACCTGCAACATAAATGTATATTTGACTTGAAACAGTATCATACACTTGGTATAATAACTCAGGTTGTCAGCAGAATTATTCTGTGAGGCTCAATATTGCCTCTCCATTCTTCTCTAAAACATACATTCACCTTTGTTGTCATTGACAGAAATCATTGAGAGCCCAGTTGTGTATTACAAAATTCTTGATCAAATATAATAATTGACCTAAATTATTATTCTGTTTTTATCCTCGTAGAATACTTATGATCCTGAGCATCAGACTAGACCTTTGTAGTCTGATGTTCATGAATATCGTATTCAGTGGTTCATGGCTTAATGATTCTACATCTCAGTATTTTGTTTTCTTTTCCTTTTCCCTTGCATACTAGGGAGTATGATCAAGGTAATACTATGGTCCAGTAACGCGCATGATGGTAAGGGTATGCCTTTAGTTGTTTCGGGGAAAAAGCTGCCATTATCTGCTCTCCTTTACCTTTCCTGATGATTTCAATAATATACATAACATGAAGTGTTTGTAAATTGATATTAAACTGTTTGTGACTTCACCTAAATAAATTTTTTTTTATATATAAATGGTGTTCTTAATCTTAGCCTCTTTTTTTCCTCTTAACTGTCAAGAGAAAACAAACGGGCCTTTGAAATTTGCTTTCAGTATTTTGCATAAAGGCTTGATCATGTTGTAACTTAGTTGTCATAGCTTATTCATCTTTGCCAGTTGTTGAGACAACAATAAGTATCAGGCCTCGATCTGTCTGAAAATGAAATAGCAGGTGTAGTGAAATACCAGTATTTTAATTGGCTTCCAAACTGGGACTCTGATCCAGTGGATGCTGAGAAATGTGCATTCAGTACAGCAGAATATAGAGGACTTTCCCAGATGGAATTACAAGTTGCAAAAATACCTTTCATTTTGAAGAAGGTGCTTAAGCTCAATAATCAGATCACTTGTGCCAGTTTTCCCTTGTCCTGTTTTCTTAAGAAATCAGAACTCTGTTACTCGCTGGTCCACGCTGCGTTTCGTCACCATTGTTGCTGCACGTGAACCACTGCAGGCATCTGCTCCTGAGGAAGTGCTGCAATAGCGGCAGGATCTGGGGAGAGGCGTGGGAAAGAGGGGATGTGGAGCAAGGAGGGGTGAGGATACATTGCTCTCCTCAGTCCCGCTGATGAATTGCTCAAGTGCAGGTCTTAACCTGCTGACTCAGAGCAGCAAAGCAGCAACAGTTTTGTTTTTCTTGTCCTATTTGGGAGCAGCACACCCAGCTGGAGTCTGAAGCACTTCCTAATGTTCTTCACCGAGTCCTTCTGCCAAGAATTTTTTGGGTTTGTTTGTTACTCTCTCCAGTCTTCATTCAGTCTGGTGCCCTTCCTGGTACTCTGTCACCTCCCGGTTTCCTGGTTGCTACTGGTGCTGGGTTGGACCACCCTGTCTTCTGCATCTGCTGTAGACAATTGCCAGGGCTCTGCCTTGTTCTCCAGTGTCAGTGGCTGTTTCAAAATTGCTGCCTGCTTTCATAAAGAAACTTGCCTTTCTAATTATTAGCAGTGGTGTTTTTGAGACATGTGGGACCTACCAACTGTGCCCCCCC